AATCTAACTTATATTTTAAGATTTATTCCGCCGCTGACCTGAGCGAACCTGCCCTATACAAACTTCGAACATTCCATGTACCAAATCTCATATCCATTTTCTTTAGCTTAGGTCGTTTATCCTAGGAATCCGTCCAATTCATAGGCTTCTTGAGAATTTTGTTACAAGTTTATTTTTTTACGGTGAGGAGCTGATAGCCCCACGTCCAACCCCCAAGCTGTCCGCGACTGCCTATTTAATTTTAACTTTCAAAAAGCTGGGTAGCTGACTTTGGTGCCATTTTAATCGGCCCGACATGGAGCCCTTAGTGATGTGTAGATATCGATGCTCGTGTCCGTATGGGCTGCATCGCAAAATAAACCTGCGTATGTTGCATTTGGCGTCTTCTACACATTCACCGATCTAATAAAAATGTTCCTGCACGCGGATATCGGTGTGATATTGCTACAAATCGGTCGATATAAAAACATATACGCTCTTTCACAAATGTTCCTGCACGCGGATATCGGTGTGACATCGCTACAAATCGGTCGATATAAAAACATACGCTCTCTTTCACACAGGCGGTGAAATAGTTAAAAAGTTTTATTCGTGTCCCCTTCAGTAACAAACTTTTAACACCAAACTCATAAAAGGTTATTAGAGACCTTATTCAATTAAGACACGAAGGCTGAACAGATGGCGTATTTAGCTAATACGAAGATTTCTGACTCCTGGCATAGAAAACCGCGTGTATTTAGTTGAAAGTCAGCTGATATTTAGGAGGAAAACATCATCTCCATCATCAGGGACGAAGAGTAAGCCAAGCAGCAAACCAACATGAAGCAGGTAACAAACAGATATGTTGTCCCGAAACGTCGGTTGACTGTTACCAAAATACACGGCATTACATCCCAGAAGACAGAATTCTTCATAGCCACCTATGCGAGAATCTCAGATCAAACACAATTTAGCAAGTGTTTTTTTATTGTTAAATGAACAAGATATTCCTGTACAAGGATACAAATAAAGCATCATCAATTTACATGAAATGGTTAAGTAATCACGGATGAAACAATTTATTTACTCCAAAGCTCAGTATGAATACATTAATGTTTCAAACTTTGCCACTTGCGATGAAAAATGGAAATGGTTTCATCTCAGAAATTAAAGAGAATTTGCTCATCTTGAGAGCAATATTATCAAAATATTTTTTGGACATGACAAACGAAGTTATTTCTTTTGTAAGGACACCATTCACATTTCAGGGCGAAGAACTATTAGACACCCTATAAGAGAATTTATCGAAGTGATAAAAAAGACAGTACCGGTAACCAAAACCACTGCTTTCTATGTGTATATTATCACTGACTAGATTTTGAGTTCCCAGACTTGCGGAATATAGGACAGCCCGAATATCGTTTTAAAAGTGCGTCTTCCCATCACAAGTACCAATGAGTGTGGAGCAGGGTTTTCAGGTTTGTTCAAATAAAAGCTAAACACATAATGTTATACTTTAGCGTCCTGTTACACTGATTCATGTCCATGGTTTATGCTGACCGTCTTACAGTGTATACACTTTTTCACCTTATTCTTCACTTCCACACTACATGTTTCAGCACTAATGTGCCATCTTCAGGTGTCTTTATGCACGTTAAACTATTGTACTGCATGCCATGATGTCTTCATTCTAAAATGACTAAAATCTGTATTCGTCATATATGTCGATGAATTCTAAATAATAAAACTTTTCAGGATTCTTCCTACGTCGCACTCAAACACGCGAATTACGCCAATCCTCTTTTATGTGAGCATTCTTCCTACATATATTTGTGTATCTTGCTCTGTGTTGTGTTTTGCTCCTGTTACTGCATGCGTTGTACTATATGACGAATACAGATTTTAGTCATTTTAGAATGAAGACGTTATGGCATGCAGTACAATAGTTTAACGTGCATAAAGACACCTGAAGATGGCACATTAGTGCTGAAACATGTAGTGTGGAAGTGAAGAATAAGGTGAAAAAGTGTATACACTGTAAGACGATTGGCATAAACCATGGACATAAACACATAAATATACTCCATGTAGAAGAAAACCTTCATGACTTCAGCCAATGACAACTCCGACAATTAAGCCACTAGCAAATACACAATAAATTTATCACTAATTTTCTTTTTTCTATGAGCAAACAGGTTATGACCTGAAGAATGCCGTCTTCTGGGATGTACTGCCGTGTAGTTCTTTTGTGAGCCGACGTTTCGGAGGAATATCGCCTCCATCTTCACGCTAGTTTCTCGCTCGCGGATTTTTCTACCCTGAAAATGGAGGCGATACGTTCCTCCGAAATGTCGGTTCACACAAGATCTACACGGCGCCATATATCAGAAGACGGCATTCTCTATAGTCACCGCCGTGAAAATCTCAAACTTACAGATTATGACCTATCCATATTTAAATCTTTGCGTTACTTGTGAGATTCTTGGTGAACACGCTTTCGTGCACGGCAAAAACAAACATGGAAACCCTTCCAAAAACAAAGTAAAGTAAAGTAAAGCTATCCCTGTACCAGGCCGTGAGACGTTGAGGGTCCCACATTATCTAGACAATCGGCTCAACGCGCTTTACTCCCCAGGAAAATTATTTAATTAATTCCTGGTACTCATTTCTGTTAGAGACTGAGTAAGCCCCAGATTCTTTACAGAGTAATTAAAAAAGGAACGCACTTTGCTGTGACTGTGTCTGATCCCTGTTTACAAACGTTCCACCAACACATTCAAGCACTTTTAAAACTTGTAAAGTACCGGTATGTTTTGATATCGACCATGTAATTTAAAGTTAAGCAGAACTCGACACCCTCCCTTCGTAAGTATAATGGCGTTGATAATCAATGGAAAGTCTCCTCATTTGTTACTGTTTACAGATTAAATTCTATGCCTTAATGTTTTAAACGCCAGAAAACAAATGTTAGATCGCAATAAAACATGCCTGTTAACAATTTTTGGACATCATGTCGTCTGGCCGTGATTTTGTATGTGCAGATTCGCTCCCCTCCTTTCATTCCTTTATTCCTGTCGTTAATTTATTTCCTTCCCTTCCTTCTCACGTATTTATTTCCAACCCCCTTCATTTGTCCGTCTATATCGTCCTACCTTCCCCCTTCTTTCCCCCCTCCATCCCTTTCATGTTAGAACAAGGTAAGTAAACGTCACTCGAAGGCTTTCATAATTATTGAAAACATGAAAGTGTGTACCTGTGCTATCCAGTGCTGTATCGAGGCCGTTACTGTCATCTGTCTGACACAGAATAATTACGTCTTCTATGAGCAAACTACATTTTTCCCGAGGTCAGCGCCCTCCGCGAGCGCAAACAAACATCGCGAGCAAACATTAATCAACTGGCTTTCATGCACAGGATTCTCAGCTCTTACAATAAGAAGTACTTACACACTAACTAAATAACTGACTAACTAACTAACCAACCAACCAGGCCGTGCCATAGCTCAGGCGGTTAGTCGCTGGCTTCCCACCGCAGCGGCCCGGGTTCGAGCACGGGTCAGGTCATGTGGGATTTGTGGTGGACAGTGTGGTACTGGGGCAGCTTTTCTCCGAGTACTTCGGTTTACGATGCCAATTTTCATTCCATCAATTGCTCAATAATCAGCATTATATATCATCTGGAGCTGGTACAATAGGCCCATAGAGGCCACAGTACCAAGTGGACACAGTCTCAACCCACTAAGAAAGTAAATAATTCCATAGAGCTGAGACCTTCTTCAGAAGTTCAAAAACTTCCCAATATTTTATGGAGCCACTGGTCCCTATCCTGAGCCAGATCAATTCAGTCCATACCATCCCATCCTATTTCTCTATAATCCATCTTAACGTTATCCACCCAAATCTTACATGCAATCCTTTTTCCACCCATTCGTGCTACATGCCCTTTCCATCTCATCCTCCTTGACCTGATCGTTCTAATTATACTTGGCAAAAGTACAAGTTATGAAGCTCCTCATTACAGTTTTCTCCAGCCTCCTGTCACTTCATCCTTCTTCAGGACAAATTTTCTCCTCAGCACCCTGTTCTCAAACACCCTCAGTCTACGTTCCTCCCTTATGTCAGAGACCAAGTTTAACAACCATACAGAACCACAGGCAAAATTATAATTTTGTCTAATCTAATTTTGATGTTTTTAGACAGCAGACGAGAAGACAAAATGTTCTGGACTGAGTGGTAGCAAGCACTGCCCGAATTTAGCCTCCTCTTAATTTCCTCCTGAATCAAATTTTGATTTGTTACTGTCGTTCCCAAATATTTTAATTATGCCACCTTTTCAAAGGATCTGTTAGCTATCTTTACGTCATGATTTTGGCCTGCATTCTGGTGACGAGACAGCAACATATACTTAGTTCTCTCTGCGTTTACTTCTGGAGCAGCCTCCCTACTAGCATAAATTAAAGTTTCTATGTTTTTCTTTACTGTATCTATGTTACCTGAAACTAGACACGCATATGTTTACATTTATAGAACAACCCTCATTCCTTACGAATCTTAAATAACAGTGTATCATGTACGAAAATTATGGTCTTCTGGGTTGCGACAACCCTTTAGTCTTGTCGGTGGATGCAATTGTTTCGGAGGAACTACTCACTCCATCTTCATAGTTGGAATTGCAAGTGAATGCGGTCAAGTTAGGTCTGCATAAACACGTTTCCTGTAGGTAGGAAGACACAACCCAGAAGATTCTAATCTACACACATTTAGTATGTCAGCCCTCGTATTTAATGTAGTAGCTGTTGTGAATTTCTCTCACGCGAATTTATTGTATCGGTATGTGTTCCTATACCATTCGTCACCTCTTGGTCGCGCTCTACCACACCATTCGCTGCTCCTAAACGACAGCGCATGCGCGAGATGTTCAATTAGCTTCCATTTGGAATGTTATTTCCTCTCCTTCCCCCTTCTCTTTGACCATGAGTAAACGTTAGGAGAAGGGGGGAGTGTGGAACGTAGGATGAGAACAAGTTCACACAGAGACAGAGAAGGTAACCGAAGGTAACAGAGCTTATAGCCGGTGGAAGTTGGGTGGAAAGACTGCGTAGTCTGTAATAGCCTACCGTGTGCATCGCCAAGTCGCATTTGTTGTATAACGAAGTGCATATTTCTGCTACTGTGAATCTCATGTTGAAGGAAAAAATATTTTGTCATGGTTTTGGGATTGAACAGCACATAACTTGACTAAATAAATGTGCGTCTTACAATTTCTGGTACTGGAAAAATATATTGTTACTTAGACAAGGAGAGAAAACACTTTCTCGGGATTTTTAAGGTACGTAACTTGATGAATCCATACTGCAACCAAAATGGGGAATTTTGGATGGCTTTGTTTTGTTTCTAGTTTAATACAGTGAAATGTCAAAGTATGCAGATTTGGAACTGAATTGATATGAAGGTATGATTTTAAGTTGGGCGTCAAATTACTCACTGTTGTGTTTTGAAACATGTTAGCCACATCGTTGGGCAGTGAAATAAACACAATGGCAAGGAGTTACTTCTGTAATTGTACATTTCCGCCCGCCCGCATGTAATATAATGACAGTATCCTACTTGTTGCTCGGCCTCACGTGTAACCTGCACATACCTTGTGATCAGCTGTCTATAATGGCCAACCTGACAAATTCCAAGAACGTTTCACAAGGTCTTTCCTTCCTGGCCCATCGGCAAGTAACATAAGTGAGCCTGTTTGCGTCTATGATGTGAATAAATGTAGATGGAAAACACTCGATTCCTAGAATTACCGATGCTGCTTCGAACCCGGGAGATCTATGTTTACCCTTCCTCCCTCCCCAGACAGACGTAACAGATGCTCATTTTCCATTGTTTTAATCATACAAGAGAACAGTCCGTTGAAGTAAACGAGAAATTAGAAATGCTAATATAGGAATCATGTTTTTTACAAGCTACATAATTCCGGAGAAAGTCATTCCTTATTAAAAAGAAGTATGAACCCAACTCTGGATGCCGTTTTTAGAAAAGTCTAGAAGTTCTGTATAAAAAGCGACGAATTGATTCATGCATATTTAGGCCACAACATCGTTGCTCATTCATAACTTATAAGCACAATGTCAATAATTCAAAACGTGTATGGAGGGTCTATTTTCAGTTGACTGTGCGCAGTACGTAAAGAAAGCACTTCTATGTACAGGAACTAATAATATTGACCATGTCAGTGAAGAAGTTATTTTTAATAGCCTTTACTGCCACATTAAAAGTTTAGCGAATTTGTACATTCCGTAGACTGCGAAGATAAAGAAATGCATTTTTTAATGAAGTTTTAGGCCATGTATCAAATATATTTATTGTTTTTATAATTCTTTCGTCACGAATAACATCACGTAACATCATAACAAAGTACATTATTTTCTTGCTGATCATGCTTGGAATTCCGGCAACAACAACATTTACAACCGTCTACTATCTGTAAAATAAAACTTAACATAGACATTGTAAATCCGTACTCTCCATCTCGGAATAGCTTTTGTTAACTCGTAGTGCCAATTAGCAGAAAAAGCTTTCGAATTAATGGGTCTATTTAGTTTCTACTTGTCTATATCGAAAAGCATGAATCTTCATATTCTTGAAACTATTTCACATTTCACAATAAAAAACTAGTACACGTCATATAATATTATATCGACACTCAAGGAATAGAAACAAAAACACTGCTCCATCGTGGCCTTCTGGAGGCCTACTGTTACACGACATGGAAAATGTGATAATCATAAATAGCGTAATTTTGCAGGTTTCGCAAAACGTTCGTTTTTCCCGTGATTTGGGACGGCATGAGATTTGGAACGAGTGCTCGTACGCAGATGCTGCCGTTCACACAATTTCAGCCGGGCGAAAATACTGAAATAAGATATACTCGTAAATTCGATTCAGATATGCAGAACTTGAAATCAGCTGAATAAAGTCTGATGTTCCCACGGCAGCTCAGATTCATATTGTGGTATTCTAGGTTGTGGCACCGTGTATTCGGGTAAGTTGGTATCAACGTTTCGGAGAAACATACTGCCTCCATCGTCAGGCTAGAAGTGAGCCAGTCTGGTTCACAACGTAGGGTAAGAAAATGTATTAGAGACTCCTGCAGGACATCTCTTCAGGTAAATTAAATTAATTCGTTCCCCAGGTTCTGTAAATGTTGGACTACTTTTGCTAAGCCTGTAATTTGAATTTATTGCATTTTAAACAAAAGCAGTTTAATGTGTTGTTATTTATGTTCTTACGATCGCAAGATATTTGTCTTTCATCATTGATGTAAATAATCAATTCTGTAAAAAAAAATCGTGCTCAATATCGTATTTGAAGAGACCCTATAATGGCGAGCTATTCATGTGGAGGGACTTCAAGGTCGTTCTTGCTTTCTCTCCTCGCACCGTCAAGTTGTGTTTGCTGTGATTAAAGAAACACACCCAGAAATAGTGAGACTAGATCCATTGAAATTGACGTTCATTCTGCTAACAGAGGGATGACATTCTGCCAGCAAGGGGTAAACTGAGCTCAAGACATAAATTCATACCATAGGTTTAGAAGTCCTAACTTCGGCACATAACTGGGAGAACAAAGGACAGGTTTAACTTACAAACCGGTATAACGACCGGATACGGGCTGTACGGCCGGGGTTCGATTCCCTGCAGGGGAAAGAGAGCGTCCAGACCGGCTCTAGGGTCCACCCAGTCTCATCTCTAATCCGTACAGGGGGCCCCTTCTCCGGGGAGAGGCCGAGGCGTGAAATTAAGCATTCACCTATGTTTTGTGTTGAGCTCAAGTATGGTCTAGCTAGACTCCCTTTCGCGCGTATACTGTCGTGGTTTGGCGTTTAATTAATTAAGCACAGAGGCAGCTTTACCGTTACCTCTACCTATGCTGTATAAAAGATGCCAGATTCACAAGGTTTACAATTTGATCTTAAACTCCTGCTGATGGCGGTCGCCATGTCAAATACAGAGTTGCCTGGCACGGTTCTACGATGATATGAAGGACAACCTCGAGCTGAATGACAATAAAGTCCGTGACGTTGCAATGGTATACCTGATTTCCTGCAAGTACCCGCCCAACCTCCTGCGGATGGGTCCACTGTTTGGTTTTAACGGCACGTTCTGCGCGAAATCTCTCGTTACTTAGTCCCAGTTTTGAAGCCCTGTCTCGCGTGTATAGTGTTGAAATCCCTGATTTGGGGCAACCGTTGACAAATTCATTGCACATGTCACATTCACCAATACCACACACTACTTAAGAAGTCGTTGCAGTTGCTTAAAGAGTGAGATCGCTGTGTATTTTTCATCCTTTCACGTATTAGATACACATAGATTGAAAGTAACGCTTAGGTCTCCAGAAGTCCCCTTGAAAAATTGTGATCCTGAAAATTAACAAATTATTCCCATCACAAGAGAGCAACATCTTCTAAAAAAACAATATGTTATGACATAGATTGTTATCCTACTTACAGGATTGTTCAGTAGGCTACAATAGGGCATATAAAGATATCAGCACAAGAGAAATATTATAACGGTAATTGCAGAATTGTAATAAGCACAGAATTCAGTGCAATCACAGTTGCTATTAAAGGGACGTGATTAGGCCCTATGGTGATTTACATCCACTTCAGATAGGCCACGGTCTCAGAAATGACACAGAGTCCTTTGCAAAATATTATAATGCACATAATATTCGATGTGATGACGAGAAATAATGACGCTGTTCATAATTTCTTGATATGAACGTTTGTGTCGATGATATAACAACGCCATTATTCTTTAGTAAGTAGATTTGTACTATTGCAAGTGTACCAGTGGGCCTAACCTAAAATAAGTGTATCATTGTATATAGTGGGCCTTAAAAGATTTGTGCCAGCATATACTCTTGTAAGTTCTAATCACAAATTAGACTCTTTAAATATATCTGTTAGTTAGTACTGAATTATAAGTTAACATAAGTGGTAATAATGACCACAAGGGGTAACGACTTATCAGGTAAATGTGGGGCCTGCAGAAGGAAGGTTAGCCAGGGGACAGGATGTGAGGACTGTGGCCTGTGGTTTCATTGGGAGTGCTCTGGCACCAATAGTGATTTGGCCATATTACCTTGGTACTGCAACTCCTGTGTGCAAGCCAAGGTAATAAAGAAACAAGAGGAGACTATCTTGAGTTTGAAAAGGGAGCTGGAACTTGCAAGAACTGAGATTGACCTCTTAAAAGGGGAATTAAATTTAGTAGATAATTGTCCTGAAGAATTTAGGACTGTGTCCAACTCCCGAAGAAAACTTAAAAAAGTTCCTTCTTCACTAGATGTTAAGTT